AGTTCAGAATCTAAGCTGTTTCACTTAGAACATGAAATAGAGTGAAAACATTGTAAAGGAATTCATGTGTGAAAGTAAGCATGTAAGCCACCAGCAAGTCTTAGCTACAGTGTATACACAGTTCCAGTCTATTGCCTTGACTTGCATAAAAAAACAAGCAGGAACACAGCATTTCTACTGTCATTTAGTTATTCTGGAGGAGTTTGATAGATTTACCCAGATATGTTGCTCTGCAGTGTTATTTTGACACAGTGTTCATTGTTACACATGTAATGTCTGGATTAGATCAATCCACCTCTCTCTTCTCTTGAGTGGGTTCTGACTGCTTCTGAAGAGCAGACCAAAACACTACCTAACCCAGCAGAGATTGTGATGAAAGTTCTTATTGGAAGCAGCTTTAGGCCAACTGACAGTGGGAATCGTGTTAGGATTTTGATGTGCAATGCTATGTCAAAGCCTTGGCAATTATCCCCCCCTTTCCTTTGTTTTATTGCATTTCAGTTGAACAGTACCTCTTTTGAAATGTATATTTAGAGATCATGCGCTTAATATAAAGATTCATTTTTTAGTGAAACGTTGTTGGGCTTATCAAGCAGACATACTGTAAATCTGTCGCAGCTTTTTCTCAGAAATATGTTTGGTTAAAAATTTTTTGGGCTTAAACTTTGAGAGGAGGCATGTAAAGCTTGTGTGTGGCCAGTCTGGTTTCATGGTGCTTGTTCTCACACAGAGTAGTTCAAGATGCAGAGCAGAAATTTGTCCGCCTATGACAAAATCTGACTGATTTTGTTAAAAGCGTGACCAATATGTAATCTGTAGCTGTTGTTTTTACTACCCTCTCTTTGTCAAATATTAGTTTCAAAGACCGGTTTAGAAAATGGATGAATAGATGAAGGTTCCAAATGTTCTTGAAGCCTCTGTGGTTATATCCCAACATGTCCTTACAATGATGTCTGCATCGCAGATGTACCACTATAGTACAGTTTATACTATACTATAGTCTCATAGCTGTCTGTTGTTTTCATCTTTATTTATTTGCTCATTTACAGGAGTTGAAGCTGCCCTTTACGTTCATGAGCGGTCACATCCATGAGCTGCGTATCCACGTACCCTGGACCAAGCTGGGCTCGGAGCCAGTGGTCATTACCATCAACACGATGGAGTGCATCCTCAAGCTGAGGGATGGAGTCCAGGTTAGTTCTCCACTGGTATGACAAACACATTACCCTTGATTCCACTACAGGGCCGAAACAGGGCTGGCCAGACCTTCTTGTCTTTTCAGTGAAATCCTCCTCATGCCATGTTAAGCTTTCTCATTCCATTCCAAAGCTTTGTAATGGCCTTTGTTTCAAATACACAAAAACCCTGTGGTGGGCTTTTTGTGACAAAGGCACACTATAATCATGACTTTGTGTCAAATCACATGAAAAGAAACTACAGCCTATTCATTTCATTTTTGGTTTATGTTGGATCCATATTTAAGTGTTCAATGTTTTCCATACAGTTTCAGTTATGTGGTCTTGTTTTTGCATCAGTTACTAATCAGAATATTTGTTTCATGTTTGAATACCATACGTTCGTTATAAATCAAATCAAAGAAAATAAACAAGTATTACTATTTTTATCTGTAGTTGTTTCGCAAATCATCTCCAATAATCCCTCTGGCCTTCAGGAGTTTTCTGTCCCACTGCTTCAAGTTGGTTTGGTCGTCTTTCAATCAGAGGATCGGCGGTTCGATCCCCGGCTCCGCTAGTTGCACGTCGGTGTGTCCTTGAGCAAGACACCTAACCCCAAAATTGCTCCCGTAACTGTGCCTACGGTGTGTGAACGAGTTAGTCTGATAGGCAGGTGGCACCTAGCCCTTGCCTTCAGTGTGTGAATGGGTGAATGATGACAAGTAGTGTTAAAGCGCTTTGAGTGGTCGGAAAGACTAGAAAAGAACTATACAAGTACAGTTACCATGTTGAGGCAAATTATCAAATTGTGCCCTTTTAAAACAGTGATTTGGATAATCTTTATTTTCAAAAGCTTCTGGGGGAAAAAAGTATATTAGCGAGCGCTGTAATGTTCGTCTGCAATGAGGAGCAGATTTCCAAATTTGGGGATGAAAGTGTGTTTGTCATCCATACTACCAGAATCAACTAATTGCAAATGCACTTTCAATTTATCAAGAGATGCACCTGCCTTTATTTGTTAAACTGATGGATTCCAGCATATTAGCTTGTGTTTTCCCCACATTGTTATTTAAGAATGGTTGGTTCTACATTGCCAGTATGATTTCCCCTCAGGAAGACATGGTACTCTCACTCACCACGTCTGTCTTCATTGATCACTGACCAAAACTTGAGAGAGAGATTTAGTCTGCAAGCAGTGAGCAGTGCTTCTCATTGTCAAGATTTACACTTGCATTCATAAAGAAACTGAGATTGTTTCACATCTCTATCAAATTAGGCTGATTAAAAGTACCCTGTAGCCTTTTTAGACCACTTTTACCAGTGTCTCATGCAACAACGCGCCAACAACTGCAGCAGAGACTGCAAGCTAGGAAACAGGAATGTGAACGATGCTGTTTTCAGACTTCATCAGTAGAAAATGCATTCAGCACGTTTGCAAGACCTCAAGAATACACACGACGTGTGTTGGTGATTGACACAGAATATAAAAAGAAAGTCCCCCAGGGCACCTTTAAGAGTGAGATGTTGTCTCTGTAAATTATCGGTAAGAAATGTTTATATCATTGTATTTAGATGAATTATACTTATGTTAATCTTTTTAAGCGTATATGAAAGTCATTTTTCTTCGATGTTTTATGCAGAAGAGCCTGGTCCTATCTTTGCCACCCATGCAGTTTGCAAAATTGAAAGTGTAGCTCGGCGCTGGGCCTTTATGAGAAGTTTGGGAGTTTCAAGGCCAGATGTCCCAGAAGAAACACATTTCTAGAGAAGTCAATTACAGCTAATTATATAGACTGTGGCAAAAATGATTTATAACACATGAGCCTGAGCTGCCCAGAACTAATGGTAAATATCATACGATGCAGGTGGCTACTGCTCATGCGATCAGGTTTCAGTTCGATGGAAATTGAAACTTGTTTTTTGTGCTTCATACACAGCTTTAGGTCATGTACTGGTACCGGTGCTGGTGTAATGCATCTAGTCTCAAAACAACTATTTGTTACAGATGTTTTGTAAAAGGCTTTCAGTCAAAAGAAGATTTCGGGGGAATTGCAAAGGACGTTTGGACAAATTATTCAGCAGTATGTGCACCCGTGGGACATAATTTGGAGCAAAGCCAGACGTACAGCAGAAGTCCTTCTAGCATGTGGAATTTAAATGAACCACTACACTTCTCTCCTATGAGTGGGAGGCAGAAGGCGGACTACTGTTCTTTAGCCAAGGAAATGCTGCCAGTATACTTCTATGCTTTAGATTTGTGTAGTTTGGTGACTTTTATTTAATCTTTATACACTTTTGACATCCTAAAATTTGCCATGTCATCTCTGTGGTGGCACTTTTCCACTTTGATCAGCCCAGAGAGAATTCCCTTGATTGAGGGAAAAGGTCTGTGGGCCTTTGTCACATTAGTCTCACAGGAAGGAGATTATATTTCTCTGGAGGTTAGATATCCTGTTCATGTGCATGTCAGGCCCTGGTCCAGTTTTAATCAGATTCCAGCAGGGTTGCAGGGAGTTTGGCATAGGTGTATGCAGAAACCCGGGCCATGACAGTTCTCCCTGAAGCCCTCAAGTCATTTGGGTGATGGCCCACAGGATTTGAAAAAAATCTGATCTGTGTATGGAAAATGGTACATTTTATATTCAGTAGATTAGTGTTTCTTTTGTCCAGTAGAGACAGGAACTTTGTGGCGGGCCTCATGCGGCCAAAGTGTGGAAATGATAAATGATATCATTAATATGGTTTGTTTTCCTAATTACTGTTAAAGCCTGAGCGCTGGTCTGTGAAAACATCCGTGCGTCTTTTGAAGTTCATTAAGGGCTGTATAATTTGACCGGAATTATTTGGACCTTTTTTTAATGTTCGGGCTTCCCCTCAAGAGGAACTGGATAATATTAGGGGTATTCAGATTGCTCAATAGGGCCCATCTGCAACACACCAAGAGCAGCTCACAATTATAGTTTCCAGCAAATGTGGACATTTGGGCATTTAGCAGCAGTCGGAGATTACTGCTCCTGCTGACAGTGTAATTGCTTCAAATGAGCTGTAATGAGGACTTGTAGCGCACAGAGTAGAGTAATAGAAAAAAATATTGTCAACTTGTTTTTGACGTTCAATTTTACAAACTGGAGGCCATTTACAAACAAAATACATGAGGTTTCATATGTGCCTTATTATGTCCTAAAGTGACACGGGGCTCTGAAGCAAAGCTCAGGAAGTGATCGTGTTCCCGCTGCTCGCATTGTTTGAAGATTAGACACCGTTCAAATCAAATCACTACCACTTTTCTTTAGTTGTCAGATTTATTGTACATGTAGATACTTTATGCTCTTGTATTTTTCTGATCAGTCTCGGTTTCTAAGTCCAAAAATGTAAATCATTGTAGTTCTTGTAGGAGTCGAATAATTAGTGTGGACATCTCCACGTGAAATTAGACTAAGCCCTGGTCTATGCCTAAGCGCTCAATGTATGTAACAGGAGATTGGTCATGGGGATGAAAGGGTTCTGTAGTAGTCAACTTTAACTTCTTTCCTCTTGTGCAAAGACACACTGGAGGTGGCCCCTCTTGAGTTACTCGATATGAATGAACTGTTTGATCTGAGCCCGTTCTAAATTAAAAAGCAATCTGAAAATGTCAAGAGCTGCACAGGATAAAACAATGCTTTTAAAATCTGTCTTTCCATATACAGAGCCTCCTATGGAACCTGCAGTTATTAATAGAACCCATAAGGTCTCCATGTCTTCTTCTCCTCGTGGAAATCTCATGGAAGGAGTTAGCAGCAGCAATCTCCAGTTTTACCAGCTTCACACCATACTATTCCCATGCGGGACACTTTTTTTCTGTATTTGGTCATTTTTTTCATTAGGCGGTTGTCATTTTAATGTTTTCAGCTCACATGTGGGGGATTTGAGCCGGTCTGTGATGCGATACTGAGCATTTGATTTAAGGCATCCCTGTCTCTAATGAGGAGATTGATAAAGCCTTAGATAGAATTTACTGTGCGGCTGTTTTTAGGAGTTTTGTTCTTGTATTTGTGGCTACTTGTAACAGGAATGGGTAAGATTGAACTCAGGCCTTAATGAAAGACCTAACAGCCGTCATTGATGTAATGTTGCAAAATTACGGGCACTTTTTTTCCCCTTTTTTTTTGACATCTATGTAAACTGCTCCAGATGTTGAAGATGAGGTGTGATCAGCAAAGACAGAGAGAGGTACTGTGCTGGACAGCAGTTCCAGTGGATCGTAACACTCTCGGGCACTCTTTATTTTTTTACGAGACAAAGATAAGGGCTTGGGTTTACCGAGGAGAGCCTTTCTGGTTTTGGCTCGGCTCGCTGCTTGATCTGGGAGTTTTATGGCTGCTGAGTGCATTTGCCACTGATGTGGAGGTTCTGATTGATGCATTGCCTCAAGACGATTTGGGGAGGTGCCTCTGAGACTTGTTGGTTTGGCATATGGTCCAAGTAGGCCCTTTCTTCTGTTAGATTCCTTCCAAACTATTTTTAGAGCTTTACACTACCAGACCTCATTGCTCTTAAATAATGAGTAATGCATGTGAATTAGGAAACCCCCTTCTGGAAAACTTTGAGATAGGCCCGTGCAATATATTGATTATCAAGGCTAGATATCATCTTAGATATGGTAATATGGTAGTATGATAATATGGCCTAGGTCTTTCCCGGGTTTTAAAGGCTGCATTAAAGTAAAGTGATGTCATTTTCTTACCAGACTGCTCTCGCTGTTCTATTATTTACCTTTACACACTTAGTCATGAAATCATCTACTGGTATATCCATTGCTGCTGATTATTCATCAAAAATGTGATTGTGTAAATATTTAGTGAAAGCACCAATAGTCAACGATACGATATCGTCTCAGTATTGACATGGAGGTATTTGGTAATGTATGATTTTCTCCATATCGCCCGGCCCTTCCCCAAGTTGTCGATTACTACTTTGGTTTCCGAAGTTGAACAGAAATCTATAGATATAATACATGACTTTGTAATATCAAACAA